GTTGTATGAAAAACGTCTGCAACACAAAAACGAATCAAATGCTTTAAACTCTTGATATGAAAAACTACAACAGGTGTGATGACTCTCGATATGCGCCCACAAGCTTTAGTTTAAAACTCCATATAGAAAAAACTCTTTCTTATCTTTTTCTTCTATCTTTCTTAGAACTTTTAGAGAATGCTTTATTTATAAATCCTTTCTCACCGTAACATTACAACCCACTAACACAGTATAAATACCCACCAGACATTCTGTCTGGGCCTTTGACTATGCAACTATTTTTTATCCACTTGTGTGCTTCCAGTTTGTAGCGAATAGAGTACACGCACAGAATTTCTGTCTGATAATGAACTTGATTGAATCATTATCAAGAGACTCATTTTGGATTGACAGGCTCTTTGGAATGCATTCTGATCACTACATTTGCACTTATGAAATGGCTCCGAAGACAGACTGATAACCATCAACCATGATGTTTTTCAGGCTCCTAACTTTGTAATTTCTTTATTGCGTTGTCATATCGGTTTAAGCAACTCACTCCGATTTTGTGTCATCTTGGTGGGAGTAAGTGCTTTTTCAGATTATAATGTTTCTTAGATTATAATGTTTCTAAAAAAGCACTTACTCCCACCAAGATGATACAAAATCGGAGTGAGTTGCTTAAACCGATATGACAACGCAACAAAGAACTGTTTCCAAAGCCATACGAAAGCTCTACTCGCTCTCTGAGTTGCAGCCACATAATGGGCTTATGTGCTGATCAGTAAGTTTTCATGACTGATTACTTATATTACAATATAACTTGCTACATTTCAGCGGNCAGAATTCTCTACAGTGCTCGAATCCTCGGGAGTCCTTGGCAAAATCATACAAGAAAATGTTATTTTTGTTTGAAGTTTCATTGATATTGTTAGACTAGGCGCTTGTCAGTTCCCTTTCAGTGTCTACCTGGCTTTAAAAACATTTAAAGTCAAAGTATTTCAGAAAGCCATTGACGACGCATGTCGGACGGTTATCAAATGCATTGCTTGAGAAAAAAGTGAAAAAAGACCGATCCATTTTGTTTTCTTATTCATTTTCAAGTGAATGAATTTTTAAAAATTTATTATTTGTATCACATCAGCATCACATAATCAATTTCTTCTCATCCATTTGTGTGCTTCCAGTTTGTAGCGAATAGAGTACACGCACAGAGTTTCTGTCTGATAAAGAGTTTGATTGAAAGATTGTCAAGAGACTCATTTTGCATTGACAGGCTTTTTGGAATGCATTCTGATCATTACACTAAGTTTTCTTCCCTTAAATTTCTGTGTAATCCATGCTGTCTCACACAAAGTTGTGATAAATTTCAGTTTGTGCGGGCAGCGTTGGACGCCGTGGAAGGAACATCGTACGACATCTGCGGAGCCAACAAGCTCACAGAGAAGAAATGCCGCGCAGCGACGGATTAGGCTTTGACAGTCATACGATCGATCATTGCAGAACTGTTTCCACGGCCGTCCGAGAACCTACCTCGCTTTTTGAGTTGCAGCCACATAATGGGCTTATGTGCTGATCAGTAAGTTTTCATGACTGATTACTTATATTACAATATAACTTGCTACATTTCAGCGG